CTGGCTTCTTGGTTTAGCTGTTAGACTTGAATATGGAGATAATGCTGAAAAATACAAGGACTTAGTACCCGATAACAGGAAAAATACTGACGACACAGCTAAAAATGCAGAGCCATTGATCAACCTGGACGTAAATAATCCTGATTTTAAGGCTGATGTCATGGCTCTGGCTAACCTCCTTCAGATTCAATGTCATGATGATTACTTGGTAATGCTTAAGGCAATTCGCATTTTGGGTCAGGAGCGTCTAACACAGGATGCAGTTGCTAAAGCAAATCAAACGAAAGAGGGCTTACCTATTGCTTTAGACAAACATATTCTTGGCTTTGACACAGGAGATGCAGTTCTGAACGAAGCTGCTCAGATCTTGCGATTGCTGCACATAGAAGAGCTCAGAGAGCTACAGACGAAAATTAATGAAGCCATAGTAGCTGTTCAGGCAATCATTGCTGACCCAAAGACAGACCACAGACTGGGGAAACTCGGAAGATGAGCACACCAGGATTTCAGCTTCTCGCCTGCCTAGTGTGCTGGGAACCATGTGCATCGGCATGTGTTTGGAAATCAAATGTCACATTTTCGAGGGAGGAATCCCAGGAAATTGGCCATGTTCTAGAGATTTCCCACCATTGCTTTTTTTTTTTTCTTTAATAAAGTTGGGGAAAGTAAAAAAAAAAAAGCCAAGGACAATGGCACTGAGTTTTGATCCTACTTCATGTTCTGGCTTTGTGGGAGCCTAGCCAGTTTGGATGTCCACCTTCCTAGACCAGGATGGAGAGGGAGGACTTTCGACTTTCCACAGGGCAGGGAACCCTGACTGCTCTCCAGACTGGAGAAGGAGGGGGAGAGGAGTGGGGGGAGGGGTAGAAGAGTGGGAGGAGGGGGAGGGAAAAGGGAGACGGGGAGGAGGTGGAAATTTTTTTTCAATAAAAAAAAAATTAAAAAACAAGTAGTACTAATAGGCCGGGTGGTGGTGGTGCACGCCTTCAATCCCAGCACTCTGGAGGCAGAGGCAGGCGGATCTCAGTGAGTTGGAGACCAGCCTGGTGTATAAGAGCTAGTTCAAGGACAGGCTTCAAAACCTACAGAAAAACCCTGTCTCAAAAAACCAAAAGAAAAAAAAAGTAGTGCTAATAGGAAAGTTCATAGCACTAAGTGTCTACATAAAGAACCTGGAGAAATCTCACACTAACAACTTAACAGCACAGGAAATAATCAAATTCAGAGCCAAAATCAATAAAATAGAAGCAAAAAAAATACGAAGAATCATGAACAAAGAGCTGGTTCTTCAAGAAAATAAACAGGATAGACAAACCCTTATCCAAACTAAGCAAAAGGCAGAGAGAGAATATCCAAATTAACAAAATCAGAGATGAAAAGGTGGGTATAACAACAGACACTGAGGAAATATAGAGAATCATAAACCCATACTTCAAAAACCTGTACTCCACAAAATAGGAAAATTTAAAGGAAATGAGCAATTTTCTGGTACCATAAATCAAAATTAAATCAAGACCAGATAAACAATTAAAATAGACCTATAACCCCTAAGGAAATAGAGGAAGTCCTCAAAAGTCTCCCAACCAAAAAAATCCCAGGGCCATATGGTTTCAGTGCAGAATTCTACCAGAATTTCAAAGAAAAGCTAATTCCAATACTCCTCAAATTGTTTCACAGAATAGAAAAAGAAGAGACATTGCCAAACTCTTTTTAGAATTACCCTGATACCCAAACCACAAAAAGATGAAACTAAGAAAGAGAATTACAGACCAATCTCACTCATGAACATTGATGTAAAAATACTCAATAAAATACTGGAAACCAAATCCAAGAACACATCAGAAAAATTATCCATTATGATCAAGTAGGCTTCATCCCAGAGATGCAGGGCTGGTTCAACATACGAAAATCTATCAATGTAATCCACCCTATAAACAAACTGAAAGAAAAAAATCCACATGATCATCTCATTAATTGCTGAAAAAGCCTTTGACAAAATCCAACATCCCTTCATGATAAAGGTCTTGGTGAGAGCAAGAATACAAGGAACATACCTAGACATAATAAAGGCAATATACAGTAACCCAATAGCCAACATCAAACTAAATGGAGAAAAATGCAAAGTGATTCCACTGAAATCAGGAACAAGACAAGGCTGTCCACTCTCTCCATATCTATTCAATATAGTACTCAAATTTCAAGCTAAAGAAATAAGACAGAAAAAGGAGATCAAGAGCATACAAACTGGGAAAAAAAGAAGTCAAAAATTTACTATTTGCAGATGACATGATAGTATAGATAAGTGATCTGAAAATTTTACCAGGGTACTCCTACATCTGACAAATACCTTCAGTAATGTGGCAGGATATGAGATTAACTCAAAAAAAAAATCAGTAACCCTCTTTTATACAGATGATAAATGGGCTGAAAAAAATCAGAGAAACATTACCCTTTGCAATAGCCACAAACAACCTAAAGTATCTTGGGGTAGCTCTTACCAAACAAGTGAAGGACCTGTATGACAAGAACTTTAAATCTTTGAAGAAAGAAATTGAAGAAGATACCAGAAAATGGAAAGATCTCCCATGCTCTTGGAATCCTACCAAAAGCAATTTACAGATTCAAATGCAATCCCCAACAAAATCACAGGACAATTCCTCACAGAACTTGAAAGAAAAATACTCAACTTCATATGGAAAAAAAAAAAAAACAAGAAGCCCAGAATAGCCAAAACAATCCTGTACAATAAAGAAATTTCTGGATGCATCACCATCCCTGACTTTAAGCTCTACTATAGAGCTATAGTAATGAAAACAGTGTGGTATTGGCATAAAAACAGACAGGTCGACCAATGGAATCAAGTCAAAGACTCTGATATTAACCCATATATCTAAGAACATCTGATTTTTTTACAAAGAAGATAAAGTTATACAATGGGGAAAAAAGTAAGCATGTTCAACAAATGGCGCTGGCATAACTGGATGTCAAATGCAGAAGTATGAAAATAGATCCATATATATCCCCATGCACAAAACTCAAGTCCAAATGAATCAAAGGCCTCCATATAAATCCAGCCACTCTGAACCTCATAGAAGAGAAAGAGGGAAGTCGCCTTGAACGCATTGGCACAGGAGGTCACTTCCTGAATCTAACACCAGTAATACAGATACTGAGAGCAACAATTAATAAAAGGGACCTTCTTAAACTGAGAACCTTTTCTAAGGCAAAGAACACGGTCAACAAGACAAAATGGCAGCCTACAGAACAGGAAAAGTTCTTTATCAACCCCATACCTGACAGAGGACTGATCTCCAAAATATACAAAGAACTCAAGAAACTACACATCAAAATACCAAATGATCCAATTTTAAAATGGGGTACATATCTAAACAGAATTTTCAACTGAGGAATCTCAAATGGCCAAAAGGCACTTACCCATCAGGGAACTGCAAATCAAAACAACTCTGAGATACTACCTCTTACACCTGTCAGAATGGCTAAGATCAAAAACTCTGATGAGAACTTATGTTGGAGAGGATGTGGAGTAAGGGTAGCACTCCTCCATTACTGGTGGGAGTACAAACTTGTACAGCCACTTTTAAATTAGTATGGCAATTTCTCAGAAAATTGGGAATCAATCTACCTCAAGACCCAGCAATACCATGCTTGGGCATATACTCAAAAGATACAAACACACAAGGATATTTGCTCAACTATGTTCATAACGGCATTGTTTGTAAAAACCAGAACCTGAAAACAACCTAGATGCCCCTCAACCAAAGAATGGATAAAGAAAATGTGGTACACAAATAGCATAAAATATCTTGGGGTAACTCTGACCAAGGAAGTGAAAGATCTATTTGACAAGAACTTTAAGTCTTTGAAGAAAGAAATTGAAGAGGACACCAGAAAATGGAAGGATCTCCCTTGCTCTTGGATTGGGAGGATCAATATAGTAAAAATGGCAATTCTACCAAAAGCAATCTATAGATTCAATGCAATCCCCATCAAAATCCCATCAAAATTCTTCACAGATCTGGAGAAGAAAATAATCAACTTTATATGGAAAAAGAAAAAACCCAGGATAGCCAAAACAATCTTATACAATAAAGAATCGTCTGGAGGTATTACCATCCCTGACTTCAAACTCTATTACAGAGCTACAGTAATGAAAACAGCTTGGTATTGGCATAAAAACAGAAAAGTCGACCAATGGAATCGAATAGAAGACGCTGACTTTAACCCACTAACCTATGAACACCTGATTTTCGATAAAGGAGCTAAAAGTATACAATGGAAAAAAGAGGGCATCTTTAACAAATTGTGCTGGCAAAAGGATGTCAATCTGTAGAAGAATGGAAATAGATCCATATCTATCACCATACACAAAACTCAAGTGAAATGGATTAAAGACCTCAATATCAGTCCAAACACACTGAACCTGATAGAAGAGAAAGTGGGAAGTACTCTACAACACATGGGCACAGGAGACCACTTCCTACATATAACCCCAGCAGCACAGACA